ATTTTTGTAATGACAGGAGTCCAGAGCGAAGGCTGCATAGTGGAGTGGACCTGTGGGGAGGGATTGTAAAACAATGAAAAAACTTTCTTTTACTTCTCCAAGAGGGTAGTGTACTAGAGGGGAGGGTTGGGAGGGGAGAAAAATGCAACAGTGAATGAATGGAAATCCAAAGTCTCTCTAAATTTTCATTGAAATTAATAATAAATTTTTTAAAAAAAGAAAGTTGGGCAATGAATACAGAACACTAAAGAAGGATCAATGCCTTTGGATTGTGTTAGAGAAGAGTACTGATGGCAGCTAACACTCAAACTCCCTGCCAGTGTGAGTAGGGAGTAGGCAAAGAGACATTCCAAACATCAGGTTTCCAAAGCTATGAATCACAATAGGAGGAAACTGTACATCTTTCTCCCTTGAAGCATTGGTGGATTTAAACCAGCCTTTAGGTTAGCAGCACCGTCTAGTCAGGTTATACTATTGTTTGACTTAAAGAAGACTTCAAGAGATGTTTTTGGTTTATTATCTCGTTATAATAGTTTTAGTGGTTTATTTAGCTTCCCTGGCTCCAGAATGTCTGGCTTCTACAAGAACTTTAAATTCTGTTCCGCAGTTCTCCTCAAGATTCTTCTTTGCTCTAGGTCAGTAGAGACCAGTTGTTGTTCCTTGGATGGCTGCTGGGGAGCTTTTAAAAGACTAGGGAATGTGGGCTGAGGTTGAGGTGGAGAACTGTACAACAGTTTAAGATGGGTTTGGGGGGGTTTTTCCCCCTAAGAAAAAAGCAAATTGGGGCGAGGGGGTGGGACATGGATAGGGAGGAAAATGTGCAACAATGAATGAATGGAAATCCTCATTCTGTATAAACTATCATTAAAATCTCAATTTAAAAAAAGAGACCAGGGAATGAAGAGATAAGACAGAAGTGCTAAGAACATTATTAGGCCAGTTAACTGGGGGGGGGGGGGGGTGTCCCAGGAAGCCATGACTCTAAACCTTCAAGGAACCAAATCCCATGAGGTGTTTGATTGTAGTTAGTTGTTGGTTTTTTTCTTCTTCCATATTGTAGATACATGTTATCATACTTTTGCAGATTCAACTTTTAACAGTTGTACAACTTGTTAATATTAAGTCTAGTCATGAGCTATGCAAGCCAATCCTTATTGCAATTTTCTTACCATTACCATTCATTCTCCTTGACTCCTCTTCTTCCTACTCCTAGCAACCACTAATAAACTTTGATCTCTGTACCCTTGCCTTTTTTTGTCTTTTTTTTTAATTGATTTTTAAAAATTTATTATTAATTTCAATGAAAATTTACAGAGACTTTGGATTTCTATTCATTCATTGTTGTACTTTTCTCCCCTCCTCCCCTTCCTCCCCAGTACACTACCCTCTTGGAAAAGTAAAAGAAAAATTCTTCCATTGTTTTACAATCCCCCCGCCCCAGGTTCACTCCACTGTACAGCCTTCACTCTGGACTCCTGCCATGATAAAAATACCTAATCACATATCCCTTTTTTTATGTAAGTGAAGTCATACAGTAGTTGATGTTTGGTGATAGGTTTGTTTCACGCAGCATAATATCTTTCTGTTCTCTCCATACTGTAGTGGGTATGAAGACTTCATTTTTCCTGCTGGCTGGGAGTTAGTATTCCATTGCTCATATTTACTGCATTTCACTCATCTGTTCATCTCTTGATGAACATTTGGATTGTTTTAAACCTTTTGTCTATTGTTACTAGTACTTAAGTAAGCTGCCATACATCTCTGCTTCCAGGATTTTTTGGTATATACTGAGGAGTGGAATTAGTGGGTCATATGGTGCTTCTGTTTTCCATTTTCAGAGGACCCACTGCACTGTTTTCTATAAAGCTGCTCCATTTTATATCAACTCTGGTGGAACTGTATGCTAAGTGTCAGATAGCTAAGCAGAAGGTTGGTGGTTCAAACTTACCAGCTTCTCCAGGAGGGGAAGATGAGGCAGTCTGCTCCTGTATTGATATACAGCCTCAGAAACCATAGGTTTACCTATTTTACAGCTCTGGCTCAAACTCAAACCCTCTTCACTGGGTTAGGTTGGGTTTGACTTTCACTCCAGCAGAGGTTAAGGATTCTACTTTCTGTTTATCCTCACTAACATTTATCATTTTCTGTTTTGTTTTTCATCTTAGCCATACTACTAGGGACGAAATTGTATCTCCTTGTGGGTCGATTTGTATATCTCTGGTGACTGGTGATACTGAACATCTTTTCATATATTTAGTGACCATTTGAATCTTCTCTTCAGTGAAATGTCTGTATCTTTTGCCCATTTTATGATTGAGTTATTTGCCTTTTTTGTTATAGGTTATAAAAGTTTTCTACTTGGTCATTAGATTCTTCTCAGATGTATGATTTCTAAAAATATTCCCACATCTGGTAGCTTGTCTTTTTAAATAATATTTATTTCCATTGTTGTTGTTGTTATGTGCCGTCGAGTTGTTTGCGACTCATAGCGACCCTATGCACAACAGCCCTAAACCCTGCTCTATCCTGCGCCAACCGCACCGCCTCTGACACACCCATCCCGATTACCCCAGTCACCGAATCAATTCATCTCATAGAGGGTCTTCCCCTCCTGTGCTGTCCCTCTACCCTCCCAAGCATGATGTCCCTCTCCAAGGACCCGTCCCTCCTGGCAACATGTCCAAAGTATGTCAGACGAAGCCCCAGAATCCTTGCCTCCAAGGAGTAGCTTGGTTTAATCCTCTCCAAGAAGAATCTGTTTGTTTTCCTGGCAGTCCATGGCACATTCAGTACCCTTCTCCAGCACCATAGCTCAAAAGCATCCACTCTCCTTCTGTCCTCCCTAGTCATTGTCCAACTCTCGGATGGACTCTGTTAAATTTATTATTGGAATTTCTCTGTAAAAATGGCAGGAGTTTACTTACATGTTTTTTATTTTAAGTTTGCTGTAGGCAAGGTTTTGACTGCAGGACACCTGGGAGTTGACTGAGTCTTGCCTCGAGAAAATTTCTCAGCTCAGGACTATTTTTAACTGCATTTTCAGTTTAGGAGTTCTTGGGCACTAGTATAGTAAACTCAGACATAAAACATTCGTGAAAACAGGCTTATTTTGTGAAGTATCAGTTTTGTTTTCTTCTTGTGTCTAGACATTGATCCATTTCAGGACAGGTAAATGTCTCTCATATTTCCTTGGGCAAATACAGGCCCCTTCCCTCTCCCCCCCGCCCCCCAAATCTACTTTTTTACTGAGAGTACAGTTCCTCAGGAAACCTGTGATTATGCACGATGTGTGTGTGCCTGTCCCAGTTTCAGTTCCTCATCCCACCAGGTCCAAGGCCTCATTTCCTGTCCTCTCTCCCCTCATGACTGCTAGACTCAAACAGCTTGGCCACCATGAACAGCACATACCCACATCTGCTCATTCCCAGCTTCCGTTCATGCTTACCGGTCTATTTTCGTTTGTTTTTTTCTTTTCTCTATTTTTAAAAGTTTTTTGGTTCAGGGAATTTACCCCATTACTTTCTGAGTTATTCAAATAGGATTTTCTTTTCTTTTTTTAACTTCTAACTCTCATACTTCAGTTTTTTTTTTCCATAAATGGGAGGATTTGCATTTTGAAAGCAGTGTGCTTATACATGTAATCATCTAAACTGTTGCTTGATAAAAATGATGGAATTTCACCTACTTTATTTTTTTTCTGTTACCTACTTTAGTTTAAATATAAAAAAATAATAAGGAAAGAAGGAAAATCAGTAACTAGATAAGAGACACATATTCAATTGGGTGAAAGAAAATACCTCATATAAAATAAGATTATTAGCATAACATCTCCAAAGAAGGAAGACGGAGAGAGACACAGGTGTTACAGACAACAGTAGTCCATTGTATTAACTCAGAAGTGGATACATTGTCAGAGGAGATGAACATACCTGGACAAATGAAAGGTCCCACACCCCTATCCGGGGTGCTCTGGCAGCCTAGTGGTAAGAAGCTTCACTGCAATCTCCAAGGCATGTGGTTCGAATCTACTAGCTGCTGCACTCTCCTCCTGTGTGATTAACTGCCTATGAAAACCTGCTGGAGAGTCAGCTACAAGTCAGTTCTGACTCGACAGTACAGTACACAACAACACACCCATGTTGATGGATAGGTTTGGCAAATGATATTTCAGCAGGTGTGTTTCTATATCTTGCAGACATATCCATCTATATATACATGAGTGGATATGTATATATATATGTATGTATGTATGGAGATAGATAGATAGATAGATAGATAGATAGATAGATAGATAGATAGATAGATAGATAGATGTGTGTATGTATGTATATAATTTATGTAAGTATGAATACACATATATGGAGCTCTGGTGGCCTAGTGGCAGGAAGCCGTGCTGCAATCCCGAAGGCACATGGTTTGTAGCCACCAGCTGCTCCATGAGAGAATGGGCATCTCTTTCCGTGCGATTAACTGCTGCCACTGAAAACCCATCAGAGGGTCAGCTGTGGGTCAGTTCTGACTCTGTGGTACACAACAGCAACAGTCTTATGTTACTCTAAGGTTATACATTCTAAAGTTTATATCATTCAGGAATTTTTTTTTAAACTGTTCAGGTAGGTACCTTTTCCCTTTTCCTTTCTTTAATGACATATCTCCTCCTCCACTTCCCCAGGATCAACTCGCAGCAGATATGTACAACTTTATGGCCAAAGAAGGGGAGTATGGCAAGTTCTTTGTGACGGTAAGCCTCCCTCCTCAGTTATTTGTGAGAGCATTGTTAAAATGAATCATTATAGCTTTTTGCCAAAAGATTTCATTTATGCTTTTGTTCAGCCATTTTGTGTGTGTCCATCTGATGCTAACGTTACTTTTGTTTTTGAATGTGGGTCTGTTTCCCAGTTATTAGAAGCCCAAGCAGATTACCATAGAAAAGCATTAGCAGTCTTAGAAAAGGCCCTTCCCGAAATGCGAGCCCATCAAGGTAATGTAACCTGTGTGCTGGCTGATGCCTTCTTCTCGCTCTGCCACTTCTGCTTCTCTTCCTCTTCACCCTGACTCCTCTGCATGCACTTCCTCTGGATTAAGCCTTTCTGCGTAGGAGGATACCGTTTCCCAGCATAATTTCATCTCATTTTGTTGCATTCTCTAATTCCCTCCCAACCTGTATTAACACACTTTAACACATTGGCAGTTCTTCTGAAACCTTCAGTTGAAGAGAAAGCTTGCCCCCTTTGGGGAGTTCCTGTATGCTTTTTCTGTCTTCTAAATAGACTTTAATTTTTTTTTTCTTAGCAGGTTCTAGCCTCTACTGATCCTTTTCTAAATCAGCCCTTTGTTCCCTAGAGCTTAATTCTAGTCCTGTGACTCTAAAACCACAGGATCGAGGGAAACCTGCCTTAGATTTTCCAAAAGAGAATTTTGGAAACAGTATACAATGCCACACCACCAGTCACTTAATAATGCACTTAATTAATTGCACAATCAGACCACGAGTCCTACTTTCCAATCTTTCATCTTTACGAACACTCTTTTCCTTTTAAGAATTGATATTATCATCACCACAGTGAAGAACATTGCAGATTTCACGCACAATTTGTGAGTGGGCTGAGATTTCTCTTGTTGTTTAGTTTCAAACTAGATAACTAAGACTTTTAATTCTACTTTTCTCTGCTTTATGAGCTTTTACCAGCGGAGACCAGCAAAAAGGGTTAAGGTAGACATTTCTCTGTCTTCTTTACACCTGTTACAGTGCTTTATTTGGAGTGTAGAGCTGACATTTGGGCCTGAGGTTTCCTCTGCAGAACCACTGGTGTTGAGGTGGAAGAGGATCCAGTTAAATGTTGAGTGTGACGACTGTGATTGTTGAAGAGAGCATGAGCAGGCAGGTGGGTGGGTGGCTGTGTGTTCTGGTTGTAAACACACATTCCTACATGTGCCCTAGAATGACATATTCCATCACCATCACTACCCTGTTTTAGGAGGTCTCAAAAGGTTCACATTTTAGTGCCTGAAAGTTTTTGGATTATGGAATTAGAACATTAGAAAGACCCATAGCTAGGTGTTCATCGATCTCATAGTCCTAATTGATTCAGTCAATCTCCTTTAGACAAGCTGTCCTTACTTTTATAAATGATCTGATTTCAAAATGTGTGAAAGGTGGTGTTAAGTCACATTGCAGAGGAACAGAATTGCCAACTCACATCCAGCCTTTCTAAAGCAGCCTTCTGCTGGTCCCCTACAAATACTAAAGGCATTTGTTTATGGGCTACCTGAGAAGTCCTGGTGGAGTAGTATATAACGTGCTGGGCTACTAACCAAAAGATCAGTGGTTCAAATCCATCCATTGCTCCACTGATGAAAGATAGTCTCTTCCTGTAAAGATTTACAGCATGAAAACCTGTTGGGGGATTACCATGAGTCAGAATCTACTCGGAGGCAGTGGAATAGGTTTACCTTGTACTGGACCCTTCATGGGGCAAAGTACTTGTCAGCAGCAACATCTCAGCCTGTCCAAAGGCAGGCCATTCGAATCCGCCAGCTGCTCTGCAGAGAAAGGATAGACAGTCTCCTCCCATACAGTGTATAGCCTCAGAAAATGTATGGGAGGGTCAGTTAGGAGTCAGTTCTGGCTTGATGGCAATGAGGTGGGGTTTTTTGTTTGTTTTCTTTTTTTTCTTCTAAACTGGAGATCTCATCCAATCTCACTCTCCTCCACTTTTCTTTTAGTCTCTTTGAATGGCGTATTTCTACCTACATCTCTCATTTTCTTTTTAGCGTCCAACTTTTGCAGCCTCGTTTCTACTCCTAAACACGTTGCAGTTATGAACAAAGACAAAACTTCCTCAATTCTCAAAGGACCAGTGATCTTAATTTTCAGATCCTAGAATTTAATTTGACCTGGCATTTGGGAGGGCCATCTTTTTCTCATTAAATTTTTTTCTCATTCGACTTAATTGGGTATGTATCTATCTGTCTATCTATCTATTTATATATATATATTGGCAAGAAGCTGTGCTGCAATCCTGAGGCACATAGTTTGAGGCCACCAGCAGCTCTGCAGAAGGGTGGGCAGTCTCCTCCCGTGTGATTAACTGCCCCTGAAAACCTGCCAGAGGGTCAGCTATGGGTCGGTTTCTACTTGACAGTACACAACAACAACAATCCAAAGCCAGCCTTTTCTGAGATCTGCTTCTTGCCTTTGTGTTCCTACTCTTCCTCTCACTTACCCCCTTCCATCTAGAAATCCCCTCACTTTCGAAACTTCAACTCTCATCTGCATAATAAGCTTCTGTTCCCTTTAATGACTGACTCTCACCAGTCTCAAAAATTAGCTGATTCTTCCCCCAACACCAGCTGTCCTTTTCTTCCTCTTTGTCCCCTTGAGACCAAGTAAATCCATATTTAAACCCTCAAAGCCATCCTTTCCTTCTCTGGGTTCTCCTCCTCCCGGCCCCTTCCCTGCAGTCCTTGTACTGGGCCTTAGACATCCTTCCTCTCCTCTCTGTTTCCACCCTCTGCCTCACTTTTTTCTCATTTCCTGGTCATGAGCTGTGGGATTATGTATAATACCTGGGCCTCAAGTACCCTGGTCTTTTCTCAGATCATTACCCTCTTCAAACAGCATTTGCCATTATCTTGGTCCACTTCCTGTCTTCCTAGATATCTTCAAGCAAAGAAGTTTCTCTGACAACTGAAGCCAGCAGTGAACACTGTCTCCTGAATTTCATTTACGGTTTATACCAGAAGTCGCAAACAGCCATATATCCCATTTATTATTTTTTTATTATTAATTTTAATGAAAATTTACAGAGACTTTGGATTTCCATTCATTCATTGTTGCACTATATCACATTTAAAAAAAATGTAAAAGGAAAAAAAATACGTTTCTGTCATTCGTTTCACTCTACATAACATTTCTGATTGCTGACTTCTTCTGAAATTCAAATGGTCTGGCAATACCAGTTCTGTTTTCCCTCGTGGCAGCACTGATCGTGTCCAGCTGCTTACTCCTGCTAGTGAAATGGCCCCTGTGGGCACTTGCATTTGCGACTCTCGTCTATACCATTCGTCTGTCCTGTCACGACTTAGTACACGCATCCTGTCTTGTTAATTACCAGTATGTGTTTACATGTGTGTCCCGAATTGCTTTTCTTCACAGTTTAGATCAGTCTCATTAATATTAGATGGTGGAAGCCTCTGTGAACTTTGTGTGCCCACTGTGCCACTTGCCCCGTGCTAGGTCTGTCATTTAAGGGCCAAGCACTTTTGACAAACTTCACGATAGATATATACTGCCTCCAGGTCAGTGCCGTCCACACCTGCCTTCTCCAAACATGTGGCAAGATTGGGGTCGGGACACTCCTTCAGTGTTTACTGTTGTACTACTCTTTATAACTAGAGTTAGTATTTCTAGAAAGTTCTAATGGGAGTTTTAGAGTGTGGTGGCAGGTGCCGTTCTGAGAGCTGATATGTATGTAAAGTAAAGGTTATGTGGTTCTTTTTTGCCTGTGTTGAGAAAAGAGACATAGTATTAAAGATAAGATCTGGCTTCTGAGGGGGACAAGACACATATATCTTCTGAGAGCCAGCCCAAAGGCAGAGGTTAGACGGGAGGAGAGCCCTGCAGACTTCCCAGGGTGGCATGCGACCGGCCCTCTTTTAGTCTGTTCCCTCACCCCTCTCTTCAGCCACTACTCACTTGTATTTTCTATCAGTTTTCCCATTTTTTACAAATTCTCAGGTCTAAGTGTTTGTAGGAATTTCTTTTTCTTCCTTCCTTTGTGTGGACTTTATGCAATAGGCCTGTCTGTCTGCATTTCACATAGAGGAGACACTGAAGCAAATATTGCCTTTGATTCTCAGTTTCTAGCATCCAAGTAGTAAAATGTTTTGGGGAGTGGGAGCACCTAGCATTTAAAAATGCTGAGAAGGGTGTGAACTCTTCCCATGGTTGGAAGGAATGAAGAATTTTCTCATTGCAGTATTTTTCACCAACTAGTTTTCCCTCTTCTGTGCACATCTTAGACACTGTCCCCCTGAGGCAGGTCAGCCCCAATCACATACTTCTTATTCTGGTTTAATACCTTCATTTCCTAAAACAAATTCTCCCCCTGCTTTTCTGCCTGATTTCTATTAAACTGCCTCAAGTCTTTTGTGGAATGAAGCCAGGTATATGATTTGAATATTGCTTTAACAGCTGTCTGCGGAGCCTTCAGCCTAAGCTGCCTTGGGGTTGCGGAGACCACCTTTGTTTCCTATTGAAAATTTTTGATCCTGATTGAGGTTGTGGCCTCAGAAACGCTGCATGTCACTGTGATGCTGCGTCTAAAAAGAATTTATGTTGACTGTCTTCAGTCTTAAATGACAAACGCTTGGCTTGTGTTTAGAATTTTAAGAGCTCTCTTCCTTTTTCCATATGTAGAAACATATTTCGTGACCTCTCGGTAGAAAGCCAGTACTGCTTTGCATGTACACTTACATTCCATGAAAACCCTCAGGTTTGGGGCCAGGCCGCCCACCTGATGCATGTCACTGTGGATGTGGTATCACCATTGAAACTTACAGCGAGCAAAATGGACCAATTCCAGGCTTTTGTTCCCCAAGTAAACCCATGTCTTTTCTTTTTTCTTTTTTCTTTTTTTGCCCATATTTTGTGCTCTATCAAATGTTCAGGGACCAAAGGACTGAAAACAGGTTTCCCCCTTCCCCAAAGCCTCGAATTTTGATAGTTGGGGAGAAAATGATTTGCAGTCCTGGGTGTTGAATATTCTCCTTTATGGTTTGCTGCTGTAGATAAGTGGGCGGAGAAGCCAGCCTTTGGGACTCCATTGGAAGAACACTTGAAGCGAAGTGGACGTGAAATCGCCGTCCCCATTGAAGCTTGTGTCATGCTGCTCCTGGAGACCGGCATGAAGGAGGAGGTGAGAGGCACTGCCAGGCCCCGACACTGGGTCTCCATTCCCTGGGCTCTGCCCAGAGCGCCCCCTCCCCGCCTTCCACCTTCATTTCCCAGCCACTGTCAGCACTGTGCAGACTGTGGCGTTTACACTTGTCACCATGTCCCCACAGTAAGAGTACATTTCAAATTGAGTCTCGAGACCCTCTTAACACACACTTTCTCTCTAAACAACACAAAGATTTTACAGAATAACCTCACCTGTTATCCCTCCAGTCAAATCCTTTTTGGTTTTTCTTCCCCTTATTCAAACATTTCATTTAAACACTGGTTGTAATTTATGAACAGTAGATTTCAGAACTCAGTCACGGAGCAGTGTTCCTGTGAGCCATCGTTTTTAGCAGCAAGCATTTAGAAGGAGAATATCTTATGTTTGCATAGCTGTGTAATTCTTGGGGAACATTTCCTACTTCTGTGTGAGCCTTACAAGAAAACCCTTGAGCCTCTCAGGGTAACTCCTTACTCTTCTGGTATAAAATAGAGAAGCACACAGGGATTCCAGAAAGGTCCCCTGGTATGGGTGGAGCTAGAACCCAACTTACACTTTGCATTGACATATATTGTATGTACCGAAAAGTGTGCAAATCGTAACAGCTTGATCAATTCCCATACATTAAACTCAACCACGTAATCGGATCAAGAAATAGTCCCAGAAGCCTTGTATTTGCTTCAGTTGTACCCTCCTGGTACAGTGTGACCTCAATTTCTATTAGTCTCCATTTCTCAACTAGGGTAAATATGGCATCATCCGGTGACATTTTGGCGTTCACAGCTTGTAGGGTGGGAAGCACTACTGATACCTAATGGGTAGAGGCCAGGAATGCTGCCAAATATACTATAATGCACAAGATAGGACCCTACAACCAAGAATTGCTTGACCCAGACTGTCAGTAGTATTGAGAAGTAAAAAGCCCAGGCGATTGATTTTGTCATGTAGCTCTTTGTGCAATGCCCTTTATTTTCAACTGCCTCTCAAGGTCATCATACATTTTTCTCCTTTTCCCCTCGGTAATATATAAGGAAGTGAGCATGACTAGCAGCCCAATGTAATAATTTCTCTTAAAATTTTCCTAAAACGCTTTAAAAATATTCCTAAATTTATAAAATCTGTAACAAATTTAGAGAACTCTGGTGGCCTAGCGGTAAGGAGCTGTGTGCTGCCATGTCAAAGGCACACACTTCGAATCCACCAGTTGATACACACGAGAAGGATGGGCAGTCACCTCCCATGTGATGAAACTGCCTCTGAAAAACCACGGGAGGGTTAGCTATGGGTCGGTTCTGACTCCATGGTACAACAACAGCATAGCAAATTTACCTTGTAGAAGTACAAATACCTTTTTATAGGTTTCTCATAGGCCCAGAGATTTAGAAATGGGGCAGAGCAAGTGCTAAGCACTGATTAAAAAATAAACTATTTCCTATTGCCTTTCAAAGGGGACACACTTGAGCTTCCTTCCTCCACACAGGTGGCTTTCTTGCTGCTCTCTGCTTTCTTAGGAGGGGTAGAAGTCAGGTGGGCGGATGGGCTTGTCGGTCAGACCATTCCGTGTTCATAGTTTAAGGCACACAACTTTCACCTGATATTAACGGCTTTCAATTGTCTTCCAGGGCCTTTTCCGCATTGGCGCTGGGGCCTCCAAGTTAAAGAAGCTGAAGGCTGCCTTAGACTGTTCTACTTCTCACCTGGATGAGTTCTATTCCGATCCCCATGCTGTGGCAGGTGAGCTCCAAGGAATGAATGAGTCACCCTTAGAGCAGCCAGCTGTTCCTATGTCAGATAGCTGAGGAGCTAAAAATCCAATTCTAATTGTAGGTTTAAGTGACAAATGAAACTGAGGTGGTCTTTAGGGCTGTTGTACATAGGGTCGCTATAAGTTGCAGGCAACTCGATGGCACATAACAAGTCTCCTGCTACAATTTCCTCATGGTAAAGTGTATGTGTGTATTGTGGATCTTTTTTTATTCCTCCGTTCTTTCTTTTTTTGCTTCTCTTGTTATTGTTTTTATAATTCTTAGGCAAAGATAAAGGTGGTTTATAATTCACTATTTAGAGACATGTTTATATTATCTTCCTTTCTTTTACCCTCTAAATTTAGATCTGCCCCCCAAAATTATATCTATTATTAAAAGGATAGCTTTGAAATTCATTTTCTTTTCTTTTGAGCCCTGGATATATTCTCCCAGGGGTGAAATTTGTTATATGAGCACTTCATCTTCTCCCCTCTCCCTCCCACTGCCCTCAATTACGATTTGTTCTCTGTGTTATGAAAGATTGCATGAATTGTGAAAACTCTAGTTAATTTTATATTACACAATACTGTGTGCCAAGATCCCTAGCCTTATCACATTTCATATTCAAAGAGGGTGTTCATGATTTCAGGTGCTTTAAAGTCCTATTTACGAGAATTGCCTGAACCCTTGATGACTTTTAATTTGTATGAAGAGTGGACCCAAGTTGCAAGGTAAGTTTAAGGAACACTTAAGAGTCTTAAAAAGAAAAGAAAATGAAGCCATATTATTTCCCTTTTGTAACTCAGTTTACCCCTGGAAATAAAAAAAACAACAACACAGTATCAAAGTATCATATTTATTAACTAATATGTGTCCTAGTTCTTACTTAAGAGTGAAAATATTGAATATCACAAGGGTTCATTTAGGAATATTTCTTTATACCTTGTCTTAAATTTTAATTATTTCTATATATGAAGACATACACATTCATTGATGATCCACGCTGAAGGATTATCTAATCAAAACCTCTTTATATTGGAGGAAGTCCTATACCTGGGAATAAGGATTCTGCTGGCTAGTGGCATTGTGTTTATTGGGCTACATTCAGACTCAGCTGTGCAATAATGTAATTGTGACATTATTAGTTAGCGAGTTAATGTTTTCAGAGCACTTACTAAGTACTCATTTCTGTACTAGGATTTACATCCAGTACTTCCTGTAAAGGGAGGAAAGACATTGTGAGTAAGGCCGAGGCTGACTTCTTCCAGCTCCCCAGAGGGGAGCTGTCCCCATCAACAACATCCACGGTATAAAATTGATCCTTATTAGGTCAGATAAGGCCCCCCACTCTGTTGCATCTACCTAATAATTACTGGTCCAGAATTCATTGCAAATGATCACAGAGACTTCGTAAGACCTCCTTTTACTCACAGTTTTGGGATTTCTTAGGGAAACAGATTGGGCAAGGGGTAGGGGGAGAGACAAAGGATACCACACAGAGAAAATCCAAGGTTGAGTAAATAGCAGTCCCGAACCAGGTTAACAGCAAGACATGGTTCCTCAACTAGTTCAGAGAGCTGCTCACACAATAGTAAGATTTTTTTTTATTGTTGTGACCCGTAGAGTCAGAGCCAACCCATAGCTGATCCTCTGATGGGTTTTCAGTCAGTTAATTGCACTGGAGGGGATTGCCCTCTTTCTCCCACAGAGCGGCTGGTGACCTTGAACCTTATGCCTTCAGGATTGCAGCTCAGTGTCTTGCCATTAGGCCACCAGAGTTCCCCTAAGTGCCATAGAGTTGAATACAACTCATAGCAACTCTTTGAGCAATAAATCAGTACCCTGTCCTACCTTGTACCATCCTTACCATTTCTGATACACTTTATCCCATTGTTCTAGCCGCTATGCCAATCCATCTCTTTGAGGGTCTTCCTTTCTTTCACTGACCCTCCGCCTTTCTAAGCATAATGCCCTTTTCTAAGGAATAACTTCTCCTAACAACATGTCCAAAGTAGGTGGGATGAAACTTGACCATCCTTGCCTTCAAAGAGGACTCTGGCTGCACTTTCTTCAAGATATGTGTATTTGTTCTTTTGCCTGTCCATGGGACTCTTCTCTAGCACCACAACTTAAAGCATAGATCTTTCTTTTTTCCCCATTCATTCATTGTTGCACTTTTCTCCCCTCCCAACCCTCCCCCCTAGTACACTACCCTCTTGGAAAAGTAAAAGAAAAACTCCTTCATTGTTTTATAATCCCTGCCCCAGGTCCACTCTACCGTGTAGTCTTCACTCTAGATTCCTGTCATGACAAAAATACCTAATCACATATCCCTTTTAAACAGTTTTTTCCCCTTATTTGTTTCAATGCAGTATACATTATTGAACCCATCTTTCTCAGTCAGTCCTGTTTTACAAGAGTGACACCATGCAGTATTTGTCCTTTTGTGACTGAGATATTTTTCTCAGCATAATGTCTTCCAGGGTCACCCATTTTGAATAATATTGCATGAGTTCCTTTTTTCAGTGCAGCATACTATTCCATTGTGTGAATATACCACAGCTTCTCTATTCATTCGTTTGTTGATGGGCACTTAGGTTGTTTCCAACTCCTTGCTATTGTGAACAAAACTGCAGTAAACATAGGTGTGCAGCATCGATCTTTCTTCGGTCATCCTTCATTGTCCAGCTCGCAGATGCATAGGAGGTGATTGAAAAGATCATGGCTTGAATCAGGCAAACCATAGTCTTTAAGCTGATATCATTGTTCTTCAGTACTTTGGAGAAGTTCCTGGCAGCATACTTTCCCAATGCATCTTGTCTTTTTATTTCTTGACTGCCAGCACTGATGGTATTAATTGTGGGCCCAAGCACAATGAAATAATTGACAACTTCAACCTTTTCTTCATCTTTCATGGTAATTGTCTGTTGACCCAGGGGTGAGGATCTTTGTTTTTCTTGATATTGAGATGTAATCCATATTGCAAAATATCATCTTTGATCTGCAACAAGTATTTCAAGTTCTCCTCATTTTCATCTGCATAATGAAGATTGTTGATGAGTTTTCCTCCGATCCTGAAAGCACTTTCTTCTTTACAAAGTCCAGCTTCTCAAATGATTTGTTTAACATCTAGATTGAACAGGTGTGGAGAGAGGATACAGCCTTGATACACACCTCTCTTTATTTTAAGTATTATAACAACATGTGCAAAGAGCTGGAGTTGAAAAATAAAAAGAGAAGAACTTGCTCAGCATTTCTCAAACTGAAAGAACTAAGAAAATAACTCAGACCTTGAGCTGCAGTACTGAGAGATATTATGGGCAAAATCTTGAGTGATTCAGGAAGCATTAAAAAAAAGATGAAGGTGCACGGCCAGGAGAGGATAACATTGATGAATGAAACCACTCAAAGTCCCTGTGTAAGTCAAAACTTTTCCAATAGGGTGTAAAAACCTACTGACTGGGGAACAAAGTTTGGCAACGACATGGGTCTTATAACAAAAAGTTACAGAATACTACGGGACCTCCACAAGAAAAAGACTGAAAACACAATTCCAAAGTGGGCAGAAGATTTGGAAATACTTTACAGACAAAGACATTCAGATGGCCAACAGACACACGAAGGAGAGCTCAGAATCTCTGGCAATAAGAGAGATGCAAATGAAAACCACAGTGAGATACTATCTCACCCAAGTAGTAAAGGCAAAGTTTAACCAGAAAGTAAGCAGTAAATGTTGGTGAGGACGTGGAGAGATTGGAACTCATACACTTTTGGTAGGATTGTAAAATAGTACAACTACTCTGGAAGACAATTTTGGCATTTCCTTAAAAAGCTAAACATAGAAATTCCATATGACCCAGCTATTCCACTGCTAGGAATATACCCCAAGGAAAACAGAACTGAGATACTAATGGAAATATGTGCACTGATGTTCATAACACCGTTATTCACAACAGCAAGAACATGGAAACAGTCCAAATGTCTATCAAGAAATGACTGGATTGAGCAATTGTGATATAGTCACATGATGGAATAGTATGCAGCACTCAAGAACAACAATTTTGAAAAATCCTATATGACATGGGAAAGGCTAGAAAGCATTATGCTGAGTTAAGTAAGTCTCATAAGAACAAACACTGCATAGGACCATTATTGTAAAAATAGAAGGATAACTGGTAATATGTGTATGGATATGCTAAGAGGAAAGGAAAAAGGGCAGGAGGGCTGAGGACAAGGAGTGGGGGGACCATGGGGAGTGAAGGGAGGGGGTGAAGGTATTTAGAAAGATCCAGTGGGAATCTGAAAAGATGCATAGATCAATGGTAATTAATTGTATAAGACATAATGCTTGGAAATGACCATATGAAACACAATGTGAATCAAAAAAAACAAAAAACCTTAAACCCCTAAAGTGTCACTATACCAAAAAGAATTAGTCAACACAAAAATATTTCAGGAAGTAGCATATGCTCAAGAGCCAGTGATAATGAGAGAAGAAGTCCACGCTGCTTCGAAGGCATTGGCAAAAATAAAGCCCCAGGAATTGATGGGATACCAATTGACATGTTTCAACTAACCGATACAGTCCTGGGCATGCTTATCAGTCTGTGTCAGGAAATTTATAAGACAGCTGCCTGGCCAGTTGGCTGGAGGAAATCCAGCAGAATGTGGCAGTTACTGGACAACATCGTTAATATCACATGCAAGCAGAATATTGCTGAAGATCATCCCCAAATGGCTAGAACCAGTACAAAAAGAATTGCCAGAAGTCCATGTTGGGTTTAGAAGAGGCCATGGCACCAGTGATAACATTACTGATATCAGATGGCTGAAAGTAGGAAATACGAAAAGAATATCTACTTGGTTTTTCTTGAGTATGCAAAAGCCTTTAACTATGTGGATCATAACAAACTCTGACTAACCTTGAAGAGAATGGGAACACTTAATCGTGTTAATTCCAAAACACTTAATTGTGCTTATATGAACAGAACAAGGGGACATAGTATGATTTAAAATCAGTAGCAAGACACAGTCCCTCAATTGAGGCAGCTTCTCAGTTAATAGCAAGGTGCCTCTGGCTCAGAAACCTTGACCCTGAAGGATATATGCTGCTTTCTTTACTTCTTTTTTTCTAATAATGGTGTTATATACTTTTAAGTAGGAACTGACTCATAGCTGACCCTCCAGTGAGTTTACAGAGACAGAAAATTTGCACGGGAGGAGAGCTCTCCCACGGAGCAGCTGGTAGATTTGAACCATGAGTCTTTGGGATAGCATTGCAGCGCCTTACCACTATGCTACCAGTGCTTCCTGGTGTTGAGGTTTTTAAAATTCTGCAGCTTAATATGCCCAATTTAGTGACAAGATCATCCAATCACCTTATGAGGGGGAAAAAATGGTTCACACAGCTGTGATGTAGATAGGCCACCTGCCCACAGGGCAGCTGGATTAGATTAGAAGTTTGTCCTGGAGAGAGATTAGAAAGGCCAAAGAAAAATGGTTTAAACAAGCCAAATTTTTTTTTTATTTTATTTTTTTTTTTTTTGTGCGTGTACCATTAAATCAGCTCTGACTGGTACAGCAGGAGATTGTCCTTCCTTCTCCAGCCGAGCATCTGGTGGATTTGAACTGTGCGCCTTTGGGATTGCTGTTCAGCTTCTTACCACTAGGCCGCCAGAGCTCCCTTAGACAAGCTAAATTTTGAGCCAACAGATCCAGTATACCACACTTTTATAACCAGTACCAGTTGCTATGAAGTCTTTTCCAACTTCTTGGCACCTGGAGGCCACATATGTCAGAGTAGGACTGAACTCGATGGAGCTTTCAGTGGCTAGTTTTATGAGAAGCAGATCACCAGCTCTTTCTTCTAAGATATTTCTGCGGGAACTGGGACTGCTTCCAGTTTACCTCAGAATGTGTTAGCATTTACACCACCCAGTGATTTTTCACTTCTTATAATCCTTATGTAACATCACAAAAGGTAGATGATGTTGTTCTCATTTTACAGATGAGGAAATTGAGTCAGTTCAGGGAAACTAATGAACAAGGCCAAAGCTCTTAGCAAGTAATTGATACAATGGAATTTAGACTTAAATCTGTCTGACTCAAAGACCTTCCATCTCTCTGGGAACTGTTGGCTTTAAACAGGGTGGCTTTGCTTAAAAATGACAAAGTCATAGCAATTAATCTTCTCTTGGCCAGCTCTCCAGATTAATTCAGGTCTGAGAAGGTGTTTAAACTCCAAAGGGGTGTTGAATAGGCACTTCCTAACACTGTCTGTCCCTGTTGGGCAGAGTTATTCTACAGGCTCTAACATGTGCTTTTGGTTGTGTTTCTATGATAGCTTGTAAGTCGAAACCATCTAGTTAAGAGCCAGGAAAACATAGTACCCATGAGCTTGGCCAAGTGATCTGTGGCTAGTCACTTTTAGGATAAGAAAATATGTACTCTACAAAGCCATACTTTTATGTGCCTGATTTCTCATGAACTTGCATGCATAGAAATTGTGGCGATGTTGCATGATTAAGCTCTGCGTATTTTTAACCCAATTTTTGAGAACATGCATTTCCTAGAAAGAGAGTGCAGTGTTTCTTGTATTCAAATATTGTTTTAGGTGGTTCAGGGTTTTCCCCCCTGAAGCCTCAAGGTAACTCCTCAGAAAAGCATTATAAAAAATCCAGAGATGCAACTTGGTGAGAGTAAGTTCCTAATTCAGAGTTAAACAGCACATGTGGAAGCTGATAGTTAACTCTAGATCTGTTTATTTCAAAATCTATGCTCTTTACAAACTGCTTTCTCTGTCAATGAAGGCACCTCTGCTAATGTAGCCCATTAATACAGGCACTACTAAAACAGGCACTACTACCTGTTTGAATAATTATCATATTTTTTTAAAAAGACTGTTTTTTCCCCTCAGTGTTCAGGATCAAGATAAAAAACTTCAAGATTTGTGGAGAACGTGCCAGAAGTTGCCACCACCAAATTTTGTTAACTTTAGGTATGTGTGGTTTACATTTAGCAGGTTAAAACAATGCTTTGGAGAGTAACTTGGGATTCCTGGAAAAAAGGTTGGATATAGCGTTGAGATGTGTCTAACGCATCCAAATAGAGTCCTCATAGTGCATCCATTAGAGTTTAGTCTTACAGCTACTGGAAAAGATTGGTCTCAGACACAGTATGCTCTAAATTGTTCAATATGTGAAGTCAATGGCAGTATTTTCTATAATGGTATCTTTCACATATGTTATAAAGTTTACTTTAAATAGATTGTAAATCATCCCACTTTAAAAAAAAATCACTAGAAATGAAGATTATGTGCAGAGCTCTGGTAGAGTGGTCCTTAGCATGTAGTTGTTGGTCTACTAATCAAAAGACCAAGTATCACCAGTGGTTTAGATCCACCGGTGGCTTTGCGGAAAAAAAGATAAGCTGTCTTCTATTAACATGTTACCGCAAATGATGGCAAAATGTGTTTCTAAGCACGGTTGTCAATTTAAAAGTGTGTGGCAACGTGTTAAGCTGTACAGCCTCTGAAAGTCAATGGAGGGCCGCCATGAATCACATCAACTCAATAACGGTGAGTTTTGGGGTTTGTTCATTACCTATTCAGTTTCTAAAGAACTTCTGCCCTCAAACAAATTTCTGGGCTTTAACTTTCTTTTGACCTCATAGAATTAATACACCAATGGTGAGTTTTTGGGGTTTTTTTTCATTACTCAGTTTCTGAAGAACTTTTGCCCTCCAACAAATTTTTGGGCTTTAACTTCCCTTTGACATTATTAAAGTTTAAAGAAGAATAGAGAAAAAAGTAACACCACCACCCCCCTCAGAGAATAAATCATTTCATACCAAAGAACATATTCTAAGAGGATTTGCTGGTAAACCACGTATACTTTATAAGACATATGCCTGGTATGTTACCTGTTCTTTAAATATACTCTTTAAGTAGCATGAAGCTGCGCTGTAAACCCAAAAGCATGTGGTTCAAATCCACCATCTGCTCCGCAGGAGAAGGATGGACGTTCTCCTCCTGTGTGATTTACTGCCTCTGAAAATCTGCTGGAGAGTCAGCTGTGGGTCGGTTCTGACTCAACAGTACACAACAACAATACCTTAAAGATCAAGCTTGCCTTATACATGGGTTAATAGTAGTAATATTCTTTGTTGGTTCATTTAGCATATTCAGCTCTCATTTTATGGTTCTTAAGAGGTTGAGATTTGGCCTTTTATTTTGTTTCATTTTTTTGTTTATGTTTTGAATGGGGGGAAAAAAACCCACATTGCTGTCAAGTTGGAACCAACTCATAGCAGACCCTCCAGTGGGTCTCTGAGGCCAACTCCCTACGGGCTCAGCCGTAGGAAATGTGTTCTTGTGTTTTATAATTTTAAAATACAGAAGGTGCACAGCAAAAAACTCTGTTGTTTCTATACCACTGTCACCCATGACATAGCCAGTGTTTTCCAGTTTCTAGCAAGAACTGATACACATGGAAGCAAATATATACATTTTCATACTTCTTTTTACACCACTCTGCTTTTTTCTTTTAGCCAAATAGTAATATATGTTGTGTGTATGTTTTTATCCTTACCTTTTTTGCTTAATAGACATCCTGGAAACTTTTCTGTATTAGTTGTTATGTACCATCATATTGGAACCAACCCATAGTTGACCCTCCAGTGGGTTTTCAGAGGCAGTAAATCACACAGAAGGAGATTTCCCAGCTTTCACCCATAGAGCAGCTAGTGGATTCAAACCAAGTACCTTTGTGTTGGCATTGCAGTTCCTTACCAGTCACCAGAGTGCCCTTTTTCTGTATTAGTACAAAATAATTATTTTCATAATATTGCATTATACTGTGTACTGGTAGGTAATTATGTGTTCCTAGTTTTTGCTTTTATGGTGCTACATTTGTACATAAGAGTATTTTAAAAATACATTTGTTGTCTTCATAATTAATTACACCATCAACATTTTCAAGTACAAGTTCCTGTAAGCAAAATATAATATTTCGAATTTTTTACAATGTTTACATTAAAAAGTACATTGAACTTTACTGTTAATTATGTCATTTATTTAGGAGTAGATTAAATGGATTATAAAAGAGATATGGATTTTAAATACATAGCAAATAGAAGTTCTGAATAACTGTGATTTACATATGGGCTATTTCAGTCTTCCAAACCCTAAATCAGTCTGCTTTCTGACACAGCCTAAGAAATCTGTAAAATGCTTACCTTGAGCCAGTTTCTGATTTAGTGACACTGTACAGTGAGCCCTTAATCAATCTGAAGTTGAGTTCCTGAGCGCTAAGATACTGTTCCTGCAAACACTTTAGAGGAAATGTTTTTCCCCCTTCACTTTTCCCCCCCTTCACTTTTGTCTCGTAGGTATTTAATCAAGTTCCTTGCAAAGCTTGCTCAGACCAGCGACGTAAATAAAATGACTCCCAGCAACATTGCAATCGTATTAGGCCCTAACTTGTTATGGGCCAAAAATGAAGGGTAAGTCACCTATTCTCATATCATTTTATCTTCACATCTTCCTGCCTTATGGGAAGACTAGAAATAAAACCCAAGCTGTTTGTGCTAATAATATAAGAAGCACTCCAAGATGTTCTGAGGTTGATTCTTCCACTCAGCTTATGTTTCTGGAACTTGACTGTGAATTGAGTGATGTCTCTCAAGCTGGAAGTGCAGACATATGAGAACCGTTGACCTCCCCTTTGGGCAGTGAGGTGGATCAACAACTCCAGTACGTTCGGAAGATCCATACACATCGATTCTAACACAGATATCATGAAGATTGACAGGAACATTGATAAAGGAATGGAATTTGGGCTGAGGTATTTAGAGGAAGCCTTAATTAGGAAATGTCACCTCAGCTGTACCTTATTGAATTAATGATTTCTTACAGAACATACCCTGTGTGAGTAAAGGCAGTGCTAGCATGAAAGGGCCTAGTTTTCTGTGGTTTAGAAGTGCATTGCCTCGTCTTGTCTGCATAGTGGATTGAAGGCAATACCTGAGTAGGCTAGGACCAGGTTCCTAAGGGCCTCATATAGCTTACATTTAGAATTTATTTTAGGCCTCAGTAGCCATACAAGTTTTCAAGCAGAAAAAAGAAATTCTAAGTATACTTAGAATGAGAAATATATTAATACTTGGGAAAATAGCTAGAACAGAGAAAGGAGATGAGAGGAGGTCAGGTGGAAAGCTGGGAAATTTCCAACTTGGCTTGGATATTTTTTCTACTGTCGTACTATGATCATCTCTTTCATTCTGACGAGTTGCTTCTTTAACATAGAGGCTGTTGTCCTCATTTTTATAGGTGAGAACACACTGAGTCCTAGAGAGGATTATTAATTTGCTTCTGGGTGCATAGCAGTAAAGCAATAGAACCAGTGTTTTGACTGCAAAGTCTGTCCTTCAGCAGCTGTGTCTGTCACTGCTTACTTGTTCTATTAGTGGGCTTCATAAAATCATAACCAGTTCGGCTCTCTGCTTCTCGTCGATCCAGATTGCCCTCTCTTCTCGTGCAGCTCAGCCGCATCCCTGAGACATGATAGTGAAGGTCAGAGTCAATAGATTTGGCCGCTCAGGGCTGCTTTTCACTCTGGCAAAGTGAATGTTGTTGCTATCAGTGATCCCTTCGTTGACCTTGACTACATGGTCTATATGTTCCAATATGATTCCACCCATGGCAAGTTCAACGGCACTGTCAAGGCTGAGAATGGGAAGCTGGTCATCAGTGGAAAAGCCATCACTATCTTCCAGGAGCGAGATCCCGCCAACATCAAGTGGGGTGATGCTGGTGCTGAATATGTTGTGGAGTCCACTGGTGTCTTCACAACCTTGAAGGCTGTGGCTCACTTGAAGGGTGGTGCCAAATGGGTAATCATCTCTGGACCTTCTGCCGATGCCCCCATGTTTGTGATGGGCGTGAACCAGGAAAAGTATGATAACCCTCTCAAGATTGTCAGCAATGCCTCCTGCACCACCAACTGCTTGGCTCTCCTGGCTAAGGTCATCCATGACAACTTCGGGACTCATGACCACAGTCCATGCCATCACTGCCACCCAGAAGACTGTGGATGGCCCCTCTGGAAAGCTGTGGCGCAGTGGCCGTGGAGCTGCCCAGAACATCATCCCTGCATCTACTGGCGCTGCCAAGGCTGTGGGCAAGGTCATCCCTGAACTGAATGGGAAACATACCGGCATGGCTTTCCATGTCCCCACCCCTAGTGTGTCAATTGTGGACCTGACCTGCTGTCTAGAGAAAGCTGCCAAATATGATGACATCAAGAAAGTAGTAAAGCAGGCATCAGAAGGGTCCCTCAAGGGCATCCTGGGATACACTGAAGACCAGGTTGTTTCCTGTGACTTCAGTAGTGACACCCACTCTTCCACCTTTGATGTTGGGGCTGGCATTGTTCTGAATGACCACTTTGTCAAACTCATTTCCTGGTATGACAATGACTTTGGCTACAGCAACTGGGTGGTTGACCTGATGGTTCACCTGGCCTCCAAAGAATAAGAGCCCCTGGGACCACCAGCTCCAGCAATAGCACTAGAAGAGAGAGAATGAGACCCTCAGCTGCTGGGGCATCCTTGCCCCAAGTTGATCCTCCCACACACTGAGAATCTCACATCCTTGATACAAGTTTCCATCAAATCCCCCTGAGAAAGGGGAGGGGCTTCGAGAGCCCATCTTGTCATTTACCATCAATAAAGTACATTGTACTCAGCCAAAAAAAAAATCATAACCAGTTCAAGTTTCCATTAAATAATACAGTGACATTTTTAATCAGTGGCATCTTGCTTCTATATGTCAGAAAGTGCCTTAAGCAGAGAACCTAGTTTACAAACTAGGAAAAGTTCCACTCAGAATATACAAAAAGGTCTTGCAAATCAATAACCATTGCTCTTCTATAACATTGAGATGGAACTGACTCACAGCTGACCTTCCTGAGGCTGTGCATCACATGGGAGGAGATTGTCCATCTCTCTCCTACAGAAGAGCTGGTAGATTCGAACTGTGTGCCTTTGGATTGGCAGCACAGCTCCTTACCACTAAGCCACCAGAGTTCTCAGTAACCTCTCAGTTACTTTCTCTAAAAGAAGACAATGAAGAGACTTGAAGAAAGTACAGCCAGAGTGCTCCTTACAGGCACAGATGACAAAGTTCTGTCTCACATACTTTGGGCATATTGCTAGGAGAGTCTATTCCTTGGAGAAGGACATCATGCTTGGAAAGGCGGAGGGATTGTGAAAGAGAGAAAGACCCTCAACCAGGTGGACTGACACCATGGCAGCTGCAGTGGGCTTTAGTATGTCAGAAATTATGTGGATGGTACAGGATAGGACAGGGTTCAGATCTCTCATTCATAGGGTCACTGTGAATTGTACTTGACTTGGTGGCACCTAACAACAACATGAAAAAACAGCTCTTGGCAGATTTAGAATGATTCCAAGACATTACAAGCATTAGGATTGCAGAGGAAGGAAGTATAAAAAAAGGATAATTGTCAGAGAATGCTTGTCTAAATAGTATTTCAGACTATAATGTGAAAGAAAGCAGGCCTCTGCTTGGTTGGTAAGTGGAATGAAAACGTCCCTCCAGATGAAATAGGAGAGAAGAGGTAGATTGTTGTGGTCAGACCTGGGATCTCGCTTTGTGGGGACTCAGGCTTCTCATCCACAGAGTGGGCCACGAGAGGTGGTTGTAAACATGAGGGAAGGCAAAGTAAAGAGCACAGAGCACCAAGGTGTGGTAGGTAGGTGGCTAATGAGTGCCAGTCCTTTGTAAGTTGTTTGCTTTCATGATCTTTTGACTCGCAGCTGTAATATTAGCCCCACGATAGGAAGGAGAAATACCCATCTTGGGACCAGTTCACATTTACCTTAAATGTAAATGTCCAAGTTCACGTTTTCTGATATAATAAATGTTGCTGGTGTTATGTACCATCAAGTTGGAAAGAGCTCATAGCTGACCCTCTGGTGGGTTTTCAGAGGCAGTAAATTGCATGGAACAAGATTGCCCATCCTTTCTTCCGCAGAGCAAGCAGCTGGTGGATTCCAACCACACGGCTCTGAGTTGGCAGCATAACTCCTTACCACTCAGCCACCAGCGCTCCACATGCTAAATAGTAAGAGGCGATGAATGTTTCTGGCCGCAATACATGAAAAATAGATTGTTAGTAGTCTTGAATCTCAGAAGGTAACTTTCTCATGCAGTGCTATTCAAATAGGAAAACACTGCCTTTGTTCCCAGCACATTTAAAGCCAGCCTTTACGTATATCACTTGCTAGCCAGTGTTAGCTTCTTATGGCAGAGAGAGAAAGAGTGTGTGTGTGTGTGTGTGTGTGTGTGTGTGTGTGTGTGTGTGTGTGTGTGTGTGTTGTGGACACTAGTTGTTACCACACTACAGGCTAAGCTGAGTTGGGGCAATATTTCTTCTGAAGTGTTCACAGGCGTGCTGATGGGCCAGAGCCTTGTGGCTTTCATTTTAGCATCTAACCTTAAATATTTCATTCGTTAAAGATAATTGCACACGTCTGGAGTGACCTGCAAGAAGTGGAGGCAGCCTTTTTTTAATGGTTGAACTTGTTTTACAGAACGCTCGCTGAAATGGCAGCAGCCACATCTGTTCACGTGGTTGCCGTGATTGAGCCCATTATTCAGCACGCTGACTGGTTCTTCCCGGAAGGTAACTCCCTTTTCCTTTGTGTTGACTACCAAGGTAGTAGCATAAGAAGCTTTTTTTTTTTACTGTTTTATAACTTTATTTGACAATCAGCTATTTATTTTGATCCACATTGACAGTCTGTAGATTTTTGAGAGTGGTGACAGGTCCACAGGTAACCAGTGTATACAGCTTGTTTGGGGAATCTTCATCCTCATTACGTTTTCTGGACAACCGTACACGGATGCAGTATGAGACATTTCTTATTCCTTTGGCGCAGACAAGCTTTGTTAAGCCTGGTGTCAGTGCAAACATCTGGTGTTCCCATCTCCTTCATGGCAAATTTCCGGATCTCCTTTAGTGCCTGAGGAGCACACTTCTTAAATCCCACTCCATGGATGCGCTTGTGAATGTTGATGGTGTGCTCTTTGGTCACCACTTCACTGATGGCAGAACGGCCTTTCTTCTTCTCACCACCCTTCTTTGCAGGGGCCATAGTGCTGGGACCAGGCTGGAAAGCAGAAGCATTTTTTTAAGAAGAAAATACTCAGTAATCTTTTTCTCATTTGGGAGTATTTTTTATTAATATTGTCATCATATACATTATGTTTCATGCAAGTACATTGTGTTCCAAATAATCCTTGACTTACATTCTGTTTCGTTCATTAATATTGTGAGGCTGGCTTTCCCCCCGTCCCTTAAAATCATCCCACCAACAACTACTTTTTATTATTTTGGTGGATTTAAAAAAAAAATATTTATTTGATATTGGTTTGCCTACAGAGTTTGTGTACATTGTGTTTCACACTATTCTTCATTCACACTGTGTTTCATACAATCATTCTCATGTACTGTGCTTTATAAAACTTCTGTGACTCACCAAAGAAGACATTCAGATGGCAAACAAATACATGAAAAAGTGTTTGAAATTCCTAGCTCTGAGAGATGCAAATCAAAACAACGATGAGATATCATCTCACCCCAGTAAGAATAGCAGAATTCAACAGAGCAGCAAACAACAAATTGCTGGCAGGGTTGCAGAGAAACTGGAGTGTAATAGAGCTGGAAAGAACCCAAGTGCCCATCAACAAACGAATGGATAGAGAAGCTCTGGTATATTCACACAATGGCATGCTATGCAGCATTGAAAAACAAGGAACTCATGAAATAGTATGCAAAATGGGTGACCCTAGAGGACATTATGATGAGTGAAATATCTCAGTCACAAAAGGATAAATACTGCATAGTGCCACTGTTGTAGAACGGGACTGACATCAGAGTTGGGGTGAGACCGAGAAAGATTAGATAAATTATGTATACTGCATTGAAACAGATGAGGAAGAAAACAGTTTAAAAGTGATATATGATTGGGTATTATGGTCATGACAAGAGTCCAGAATGAAGGCTGCATAGTAGAGTATACTGGGGGTGGGGGCAGGATGGGGGGGGGAGATTGTACACCAATGAAAGAATTTTTCTTTCACCTTTCAAAGAGAAGAGAGAACTGGGTTGGAGGGGTGGGCAGGGAGAAAAATGCAACAATCAATAAATGAAAATCCAAAGTCTCTGTAAACATTCATTAAAATTAGTTTTTAAAAAGAGGAGGGGAAAAAACCCTTCTGTGACAAGCTTGTTCCCTCAGAATACTGGTTCAATAAAGATGGACAGATAAGCAATAAAGGAGGGACATTAGGGCATGAGGCATGAAGTAGCTGGCTATCACGTGTTCAGTAATGTGTTGGGTGGTGTTTTTATTATTATTGTGATTTTAACTAAAGTTTATAGAAAAGTTGGATGTCCATTCTTTCATTGTTGCACATTTTCCTCCCTTTCCACCTCCCTTACCTCTTCCCCACGTTGCAGTGTGCTTCTAATTCTGGACTGTTTTAATGATTAACATAACTGTTTTGAGTCTTTTCATTGGTTTTCCATATTTGTTCATGGCATTTGTATTTTGGCATCATAGTAACCGTTTATTTTATATTTCACTTCCTTTCACTTAAAGTTACTCAAGCCTATGTGGAAGAATGCCGTGTCCTACCTGTTTTGCTAGGAGGAAATGTTCTCTGCAGGAGGATTTTGGACGACTAGTAAAGAGGCATCATAAAGAGATAGACTGTATGGCAAAGTAGAAAAATAGATGTAGAGAGAAATATCTGCTTAACTCTTTCAAATGTTGAAAATGGAAACCAAGGACTGTTTTACCACAAAGTGGCATTGAATATGCAAATATTTTCCACGTAGAAGAGGGTTTTTTTGGTTTTGGTCGTGTTTTTTTTTAACTGTAGCTAGCTAGTTAGATGTGTGCAGAAGTGGAAGATAAAGATGAACAGGTTGATTTTGCGGCCATTTTTTTAAGATCTTTATGGGCTGTTCAGGAAATTAGGACTTTATCTGATAGTGCTTGATTTTTTTTTCCAACTCTGTTACAATCCTGGGATCCACAGGCGTTCTCTTGAGCCCCGTTGGGGGTACTGATTGGGGAATTGTTTGGGATCTGAGTCTCCTGCCCCTGCTTCAACTATAGCAACCTTGTGTCCCGTCCCATTGGGTGTGAGCTCTGCGTGCTGCTAGCCTGTGCTCAACATTTCTTCACCACTGACTTCCCATCACCAAGAAGCGTGCCTCACTTAAGTGTGTTGCTCAACAAAATACATGATAGATTAATTAATATTGGCATTCTGCCCAAGATTTCCACTGAGGAAGTGAGTATTGGAAAAAAAACTACTGTAGGCAGTATAGATTTTATTCTTTTTTTACCCCCTTATTTTTCTTTTACCACACATTGTAGATACCATATTTGATGACTAAATGACTGCTCACTGTCATCTTCTGTAGTCCATGTTTGTTGTACAAAAGGGAGGAGAGAAAACGTGTACAGACTTATATTCTAACTCTCCCCCGACTCAAGTTCTGTTATTTTATTTCCTGCTGATTTGGTAAAGGGAACTCTGGTGGCTTAAGTGGTAAGAAATTGCACTGCTAACCCAAAGGCACAGAGTTCCAATCACTATCTGCTCTATGGGAGAAATCAGGGAGGCTTCCGGTCACGTGGGGGGCGTGGCCATCGCAGGCCTGAGCCTGTGGGTCGAGGGGTGCAGAGAAGTCTGGGAAGTGTAGTCCTCTCAACTTAGTGGGAGTCGGCGGTGGCCCCCAAGGTTCTGGAAAGGGGCTCAGCCAAGCCGGCTTCAAAGGAGACTGTCTTTTAACACGAGACTAGAGCACACAAGAATTTGCTGGGGCTATTTGGTGGCCTAGATTATCCAAAAATGACTGAACAGCACATCAGCAGAGAACTGCCAAAAGTCCAGGCTGGGTTTAGACGAGGTCGTGGCACTAGGAATATTGTAGCTGATGGTAGATGGATCTTGGCTGAAAGCAGGGAATACCAGAGGAATGTAATCTGTGTTTCATTGATTATGCAAAGGCGTTTGACTGTGTGGATCATAACAAACCGTGGCTGACTCTGAGAAGAATGGGAATCCCAGAACACTTGATTGTGCTAATGTGAAACCTATACTTGGACCAAGAGGCAGTCATCAGAACAGAACTAGGAAACACTGCATGGTTCAAAATTGGGAAGGGCGTATGCCAGGGATGTGTCCTGTCTCCATACCTTTTCAACCTGTATCAGAACAGATTATCTGGGAGTTTGGGCTCTATGTGGAGAAATGTGGTGTCAGGATTGGTGGAAGATCTATCAGCAATCTCTGTTATGCAGATGACACAACCTTGCTTGCTGAAACTGAGGAGGACCTGAAGCACGTGCTGCAGAGGGTCAAGGACTGCAGCCTCCAATATGGATTGAGACTCAATGTCACGAAGACAAAGATTCTCACCACTGGACCAATTGGTAGCATCAGGATGGATGGTGAAGAGATTGAGATTGTTCACAGCTTTAGTTTGCTTGGCTCCACAGTCAACACTCTTGGCACCAGTAGCCAGGAAATTAAAAGGCGCATTGCCATGGGAAAGTCTGCTGTTAGGGACCTCTCCAAAGTACTGAAGAGCAATGGTGTCTCTCTGGAGACTAAGGTGCATCTGATACAGGCCATGGTCTTTGCAATCACTTGCTATGCATCAGAGTTGGACAATGACTAGGGAGGATAGAAAGAGAATTGATGCCTTTGAGCTGTGGTGCTGGAGAAGAGTATTGAGGGTACCATGGACTGCTAGGAGAACAAACAGATTCATCCTAGAGAGGGTTAAACCAGGCAGCACCTTGAAGGCAAGGATTCTGAGGCTCCATCTAACATTCTTTGGATATGTTGTAAGGAGGGACAGGCCTTTGGAGAGGGACATCATGCTTGGGAGGGTGGAGGGACAGCGCAGGAGGGGAAGGCCCTCTATGAACTGGATTGATTCAGTGACTGGGGTAATCAGGATGGGTGTATTGGAGACAGTTTGATTGGTACAGGACAGAGCAGAGTTTAGGGCTGTTGCAAGTGACTCGATGGCACATAACAACAACAGTAGCAAAAAGCTGTGCTTCACTCTCAGAGGTTCAGGGTTCAAATCCACCAGATACTCTTCAGGAGGAGGGGCAATTTCCTCCTGTGCTAGTTGTATCCAACTCCACAGTACACAACAAGAAAAATTTAAAGAAAACAAAACACAAAAAACCAAAACCAACAAAACACTCCCCCCCCAAAAAAAACAGATGTATTTGCTGAATAAATAAATGACTTACTGGTTTAAACCCTGAGGATAACTCTGTGGACTGGAAATCTAGTTCACTGTTTCTGCCCCTTTGTATTCATTTAATTAAGCTGTAACGAAAATCACCTCGCCTGGAGCTGAAGCTTGATGATGTTGAGAAGGGGTTTGAGAGTATTCTAAAGGACCTGGAGACCTGTAAAAAACAAAAGGAAGATGCGGAAGTTGAAGGAGCCATTGGGCTCAGCACTGACCCCAAGAGCCGAGAAGAGATGATTCATGATCTAATTGGCTACAAACCCCAAACCAAGCCCAACAAGCGTTCATCTCAGTTTGGAAGGTTTGAATTTTAGACATTAATTTTGTAGGCCAGAGCCCTGCAACAAAGTAAAATGCTGACAAGATTTAGTGAATTGTATGTTGACCACATGCAGTGAGGACTAATTTGGTGTGAGTTTACTTACTGTCTAACTTTCACTTTAAGCTACAATTGAAACTCTAGTTTGTCTCTGGAGAAATTCTTTGACCCTATAAATGATAATGTCTGATATCTGCTTTTAAAAAAATGCATTTTAGGAAAATAATAAAAAAAAAGAAAACCAGCTGGAGAGTCCGCTATGAATCATTTCCAACTGTACAGTACACAACAGTAACAAATATTGGTAAACTGTAAGCTTCTGAAAGTACCTGAGGCTTCTGCTTGTGAATTAGTGAGTGTCTATGGATTGGAAATTATATCAGTTTGAGGACTAAGGTGTTTCTGATTCAGGCCATGATCTTTCCGATTACTTGCTATGCATCTGACAATTGGACAAGGAATAACGATGACAGAAAAAGAATTGAGGGCTTTGAGTTGCAGTGTTGGAGAAGACCACTGAACATCCCATTGATGGCCAAGAAAATCAACAGATATTTCTTGAAGGTGCAGCTCTTTGGAGGCAAGAATGTTGCTAGGAGGGGCTGTTCCTTAGAGAAGGACATCATACTGAGAAGGGTCAGGAGTCCGTGAAGCAGAGGAAGACCCTCAACCAGGTGGATTGACACAGTGACTGCTGCAAAATGGGCTCTTGTGTGTCAGGAAGTGTGAGGATGGCACAGGATAGAACAGAGTTCAGATCTTTTGTTCGTAGAGTCACTATGAGTTATATTTGACTCGACAGCACCTGACAACAACCACATGGTTTGTAAAGTAGATATTTTATTTCAGATTATAAAGTTTTCTCACCCTATATGATCTAATATATTGTAGGTTTTGCTGTTGTTGGTTGCTGTTGAATTAGTTCCAACTGGTGGTTACCCCATGTGTGAAAATTAGAACTACGCTCCTGTACCCTATGGGATTTTCATGACTGTAACCTTTTGCAAACAGATTGCCATGCCTCTCTTCCGAGGCACCTCTGGGTGGATTCAGTCTGCCAAACTTTCAACTAGTAGCTCAGTGTTTAACAGTTTGTGCCAACCAGAACCTCCTCTGTGTCTCATATGGTTGTGTTTTCCTTCTTGCAGAGATTGAATTTAATGTATCAGAAACATTCGCACCTCTTGCCATCCCAAATTCCAATCACTCATCATCCCACACTGGAAATGACTCTGACTCTGGGACCCTGGAGAGGAAGCGGCCTGCCAGCATGGCGGTGATGGAAGGGGACTTGGTTAAGAAGGAGAGGTGCGTTTAGCACTGTTGGGTTTTTAAACCAGCTGTAGATACCACACAAAGGAATCGCTGAACCATAATTAGCAATAACTGGTACCAGTTTAGTGGACTTGGAGTTTGAGAGTGGCCCCATGTCTTGATAGTTTTAGTACTTCTGCTGGAACGTGTCTCATCCCTTAACCTGAATGTAAAGTAGGTAGATAGCCAGCCAGTTAACATTTGTAACATATGCATTCAGTTTTTTCTCCATTGTCTGTGATGAGCACTGCAGTGGAACAACTTCACATACTAAGTTCAGATTCTTCCTGTATGTGCTTGATTGAAAGAGCCCTGGTGGCATTAGATGTTCAAGGCAGTTGGCTGCTGACCAAAAGGTCAGCAATTCAAAACGGCAAGCTGCTCTGCAGGAGATAGAGCTGCCCTATAGGGTTTTATGGGATTTAATTTTTATAGGAGCCTATCACTGGGTCTTTTCTCCAGACAAGTGCTTTATCAGGGTACCACTAAGGCTCTTTACAGGAATAAAAAGAAAAATTAGACTTCACATATTTCTTGAGTCTAGTTAGCATATGGTAGACAATCAGTTACCTGTTGGGATGGAGTCTCCCAGACAGCTTCCTGAGTTTAACAAGAGTTTAAGGAATCATCTGTTTTTTTTAAATTGAAAGTTCTAAAGCTCTTACATCTGTGGCCTTCCAGTGAAAAGTAAGTCTTCTTCTATCCTATCCTCCAGCTCCCAACCCTTTTGCAAAAGTAACTGTTTTCTTCCAGTCTTGTGTCTTCTTCCTCTTTATGTCTCTGCATGTGTATTAGCTACATTGTCTCTAGTCCTCATCTTCATTAAGTGCCAGTGTGGTGTGGCTTCCTTCCATTGCCTCAGTGGTAGGACTTCTGGATTCCACTTCCACCTCATTTCCTGAATAGACACACTTAGTATGGAAATAAACATGTTAATGTGTTATCATTCAAGATGAAGCTTGGCGGTCAGCTTTCAGCTGCTCACATCCAGCATGGTAAAAGGGCATTCATTGGTCAGTACCAGGACTGATGGCTTCCTTCCGTTTTAAAGCCAAGTTGATCTGCTTACCTTGAACTCACCGTTAAGCTAGTCTTACTGCTTCACTGTATGCTGGGCAACTTGGGTGGCTGTTTCCCGCATGTGTTTCAGCACCCATGAACTAATGGACTTCCCCCATAGTTGTCAGCTCGCATGGTGTGTTGACTGTTTCTTTTCTCCGTGTAGCTTTGGTGTGAAGCTTATGGACTTCCAGGCCCACCGGCGGGGTGGCACTCTAAATAGAAAACACGTAGCCCCCGCTTTCCAGCCGCCTCACCCGCCCACAGATGGCAGCACCTTGGCTTCTGCGGGCCCAGAGCCCCCGCCCCACAGCTCTAGGGCTGAAAGCAACACAGGGGGTGGGGCTGTCCCCTCCTCTGTAGGCACGCTGGAGCAGGGGCTGAGCCCAGGCGACGGCAGGTAAGGAGGCCAGCTTCTGCTGGCAAGGGTGCTGGACGCCCCAGCCTTCTTGCAGCTCCTACTGTTGGGCGTGACATCCGTGCCCGAGGAAATCGCTACCCCATGGGGTGAATCCCATCTATCCCTCGCCACCAATTGGCAGAGACTGCAGATTGCTCACTTCTTTTCCCATTTTCCGAAGAAAGCAACATTTGTTTGCTTTCTTCGCCAGGTTGCTGCTTTGGTGGTGGGAACTGGAAGCCAACAGTTGTCTAGCAGTGTTAGAAACATCTTTTACTTGTTTGATATAAACTGTCAGTGTTCCTGTGTCATTTGCTTATGTCATACAGTGTGCTATCTAGTCAGAAGCCAGTACTTGGCTTGTTGTTGTTTTTGATTGTTATTTCATTGAAGATTTACAGATCACATTGGTTTTTTTCATTCTGTCAGTCATACACACTTGTTTAAATAATATTAATTACAATTGATTAATTCATTTCAATGTCTGATCAGGTCATTATTATTTATGGCTTTTCCCTTTGCCCAACTTAGATATTTATTAATTTTTTACTCCCTTCCCCTTCCTGGTAGCCATTAAGAGGAGCTAATGTTTGGATATAGCCGATTGGTTCAATGACAACATTTCTGACATTCATTCATTCAGCAGATTCACTAAATAGCTGCTGTGTAGTTGTGTTGTGCTAGGCCTGGGGGAGTGGTGGGGGTGGCCCAAGACCCGCACAGCCTTCTGTCTTGCCAGGGAACTGGCGCATGAGTACAAGGTAGAAAATAAAGAGGGTAGATCTTCTTTAAAGACTGTTTTGGTCAGTTAAACTTTCAGTAAGTCACCTGGAATGGGCAGCTTTAAGGAGACTTATTCTTGAACTTGAGGGTTCCATCTCATTTGCAATAATTCCATTTTCCACCTGATCTGGACACATGACCAACAGAGCCATGAAAAGTGGTATTTCAGATGGTTCAACCTTGTAGCTACTCGGGGGGAGGGGAGAAAATGGGTCTGCCAGAGAAGCTGCACTAAAATTTTTATCAAGTAGTCTACTTTGGGTACCTATAAAGCACTGATAAAAGGACAAGATTCAGATCTCTTGTTTGCCATGAGTCGTAGTCAACTTGACAACACCTAACAACAGCATTAATACAAGGACTTTGAGCAATCATTTAACCTCTCAAGTTCAGTTTACTGATGTATTATTATCTTACCTTAGCTTTTGCTTGGACAAATTATATGGAATGCAGATTTCACAATTAGATTATTTTGAAGTCTACAAACCCTTTTATATTTTTAATTATTTTCCTAATTTAAGTACAAGCAAATTGGAACTTCTTTGATTGCTCTGAGAAGTTCTCTGTCCTAACATTTGAGTAGCAGAGCAGTTGGTGGTACAATGATGGTATATAGAGTAGTAGTCTGATACAGTGGCTCTAAGAAAGTGTATAATCCTTTACGGCACCAGTTGCCTTTTAGATCATCACCCACTTGCCAGCTAAAGTAAAAACTCTGGTTGTGTCCATATCCTTTGTAGCATGCTTACCTTTTCTAGCCGTGACTTATGACATTTAACGTGACATTTGCCCTCCCTAGTCTTCCAGTACCCAAGGACTCTGTGTCTGCAGCTACGCCAGTGCCAGGGAGGAACAGCAGTCAGACAAGCATTGGCCCAAACCAGGCTGTAGGGGCTGCTGGCTCGCATCAGCTTTCAGCTGGCCCCGCCCACAATTCCGCTGGTCCCAGTCCTCACACTCTGCGCAGAGGTAAGAAGCCCACTCTACTCAATGCCTTCAGGGATGGATGTGCATACATCCTGGTCAGCGGGCAGGGATTTCAAGCACACCTCTTTTTTTGTCCATTATAAAATGACAAGTAGGAAAATTAGACATTAAACAGAAAGAGAGCTCTGGTGGCCTAGTGGTAAGAAGCTGCGCCCAAAGGCACAGAATTTAAATCCACAAGCTGCTCGGTGGGAGAAGAATGGGCAGTCTTCTTCCATGTAATTGACTGCTTCTGGAGGTCAGCAATGAGTCCGTTAACTCCACAGAAAATAGCAACATGAAAAAAAAAATTTGTTTTCATTAAAAAATGAAAACAGAAGAGCAAGAAAGGGGCCACAGAACTTAACAAACAAAAGGCCATTTCTCCAGAATATGCCCACTTTTCCAGGAAGCCTGTGTTCCACGCTCCAGAACCCCACAGCCTCAGTGCTACTCAGGCTCTGTGGGTCCTGGGCAGCTGCACCCTGTGTTAGTGTTAGGGCTTCTAGGCCCTCTTTGCATATAATTTAATCATCTTCCTTGTAGGCCCTTCTGTAGCCCTCCTCCTAAAATCAGGGGGGTGGCTTAAAAATAAACAGATCCATTCACCTCTTGAAACTTTCCAGTGGCTTCCATGTGAAACTCACCTGGGCCCTGTGTGGGCCTACCTGAGTTACCTCTCAGCTCATGTTTCCACTCTCCTCTTTCTCGTTTCTTTAGCAACACTCATCTGATCTCTGTTCCTTGGATCCACTAAGCTATTTCCTTTGTAGAACATCTATACTTGTTTTTTTTCTTGTGAATACTCTTTGCCTAGTTCTTACTTGCCATTCAAGGCTCAGCTCAAATGATATTTCCTCTATGGGACCCTCCCTGATAACCTAGCCTCACTTAGAGAGTCAGTCAAAAAGCCAGTCGCCATGGAGTTCACGCACATCAGAGTAGAACTGTGGTCCATGAGGTTTTAAATGCCTTGATTTCCCCCCATGTGCAGATCTCCAGGTCTTTTCTTCTGAAATACCAATGAATGGACTTAAACTGATGATCTTTCCTTTTGCAGCCAAGTACTGTTCCAGCCAGGAATTGCCCTGGAACTTATAATGTCATCTTCTATTGTAGCACTTTACTCAATCTTAAGACTTTAAATTGGTCTTTTTAAGCTTGCTGTTTGTCCTTCCCAGCTCTGAATTCTCTTACCTGTCCTGTGCTTGCCAACCTCTCTGTACTGTGCCTGTCATGGGTGGACACTGGAGACATATTTGTGACTAGGGAACTCCAGGTGCCTCATAGTTCTAGAACAACCAGGAGTAATGTTTGTCCCCCTTTTCCTCCCAGGGTTTTATATTTGTCTAGAGATTTTTTTATTATT